ATTGGAAGACTGGCTAAAGATAGACAGTAAACATTCTCCAAACAATCAAACAAACAAAAACAACATAGAATTTATGTTAAAAGTCCTTGGCTTGCCCCACGTCTTTTTAATTGAATTCTTATTTCAAAGAAACAAACAAACAAAAACAACATAGATATTATGTTAAATCCCCTTAGCTTGCCCCGTCTTTTCTCATTTGTGATTGGATGACTGGCCAAACGCAACAGAAAACATTTTCCAAACAAACAAACATAGAATTTATGTTAGAAGTCCTTGGCTTGCTCCATCTCTTCTTAATTGTGACTGGACGACTGGCTAAAGTGTGACAGTAAACATTCTCAAAAAAATAAAACAAACAAAAACAACATAGATATTATGTTAAATGCCCTAAGCTTGCCCCGCCTTTTCTCATTCGTGATTGGACAACTGGCTAAACACGACAGTAAACATTTTCCAAACAAACAAACAAACAAACAGGAATTATGTTAGAAGTCCTTGGCTTGCCCCGCCTCTTCTTAATTGTTATTGGACGACTGGCTAAAGTGTGACAGTAACCATTCTCTAAACAATAAAACAAACATAAACAACAATGACTTGATGTTAAAAGTACTTGGCTTGTCCCTTCTCAATTGTGATTGGTTTACTGGCTAAATGCGACTTTAGTTTCTTTAAAGGAAACTAAGTAAACAAAAAAGATAAAAATTTATATTAAATGTCCTTGGCTTGCCCTGCTCCTCAATTGTGATTAGACGACCGGCTAAAGTGTGATAGTAAACATTCTCCAAACAATCAAACAAACAAAAACAACATCAAATTGATGTTAAATGTCCTTGGCTTGCCCGGCCTCTTCTCAATTATCATTGGACAATTAGCTCCAAACAAACAAACAAACAAAAACAACATAAAATTCAATTGACAATCAATACCAAAGAATCCTTTGATGGACAAGTAAAAAAACAATTAATTATTGTGAAGATTTAATATTAAAAGCTCTTGGATTGTCCCACCTATTCTTAATTGTTATCGGACAACTGGCTTAAGCGTGACACAGTAAACACTCAAACACTTGTCATCCTGTTGCATTAACACACAAACAAAACAAAAAACATGGCATTTTCATTGAAAATCTATTTGCTAACAAAAATACTTTGGTGGACACATAGTCTAAGCAAGCAATAATTTATTATAATGAAGATTCAATGTTAAAAGTCTACGGCTTGAGCTTTATTGGGCTTGAACAGCCAGTCATGCAGTTTTTTCTAGTTTATTCTGCCACAGCACCAATAAGCCCTTTGCATTATGTGATGTTCACGAGCAGACCCCGCAGCGAATGGACCAACACACACTCAAATCCAACGTCGTCCTGTAATCACATGGTGCATTTTGAAGCAACACAATAAACACAGGATCCATTATGAGAGCATAGAGTGCTTTGCTCTGCTAATGGCTGGTGTGAAAGGGCTGATGCGCACTGAGTGGTTCAGGGTTTCACCCGTCTGTCTTTTGTGTGTTTTTTGCGCGGCTACGACGCTAATGAATTCAAGGCTTTTTAGTTTAGCACTTACAAAACGTACTCCATGCGGGCATCAAAATGCATTATGAAAACTCCGAGCGCATTAACACTCTCGATGGCCCCCGAATAAAAAAAAAAAAAAGCTGCATCTAAAAATAGCGGGATCAGAATCATTGATAATGGCCCATCGGGTCTTAATGGAAAACGTGTGTCACTTTGGTGGTGCACTCGGAGACTCAATCTATCCTCAGTCAGTGGATCGCATTACAATCGAGATTAAAATCACATTAGAATGTGCGGCACCAAATCAAATCTAATCACGCCATCGATTGAGAGCATTTCTCGATAGACTTCATTACCGCCGCTGTCCTTTCTCAGGCAGGAACAGGAGTGCGTTGTCTGAGACGCTCTGGGAAGTGTCCAAATTGTGTCTATTGACAAATAATGTGAGATGTGTCCAATAGCCAGCTCCACTGACAAATCAAATCCTTCTGCAGTCTCACAAGAAGGACAGAATGGGACTTATTCTGAATTCACTGGAGACTTTATAAGTGGAACTCTAAATCGTCTTAACTGCTGTACTGTACCATTTAGCCATACAGTTAACATTATAATGTTTCAGGAGTGACAGCTACATTTAAAGCAGACCTATTATGCAAAAATCACCTTCATAAGGGGTTCAAACATAGCTGTGTGGCGTTAGTGTGTGAATATAGCCAGCTTCTAATGGTTATAATGTATAATGTTTTAATTCTAATTATTATAATCTCACTTCGTACAGTCTGCAGAAATATTTTGACATTCTCCCTTTGTACGTGTCATCAAAGACTATAGAATACACAAGACATGTCACTCGCACAGTTTTAAATGGGGAAATGTGTATTGGTCAATATGGCAAAAGAAGCCCCTCCTACTAGTACAGGAGCCAATCGTTGATCGCTATAGACTAATGTTTCTCTCGTGGAAAAGCTCTGACCAGATGTGTTCTTTTACGACAGTTTGGTGGTCAACAACGCACTAGATTCTCAGCAAATAATTGCTTCAAAGACATAAAAAATATATCCAGATAAAGCTTGAATCTTATGCTTTTAAATAAACCAAGTGCACTTAAAAACAAAAGTTTTCTGGTTTTGTAATCTGTATGAAATGAATGTGAGGTACAGTACGTCCCGTCAAACGCACATCACATGACAGCAACTACTCAAACACACACAAACGTGTAAACAGAGATGCACTGTTATTTCTGGAGAAGATTCGCCATCAAGACCAAGTTGTGGATTACTTCAGAAGACCAGTTTGATCAGACGACCAGAGAATGATAATGTGAAGAACGGTCATAAATGAGGTTGGTGTCGTGCTCTCGTTCTTTTCTAGCGCGCTTGTGCATTAGCCTGGGTAGCTTGAAAATATGCTGATTTCTTATTTTTTGATTCGGATGTTTAGAAACGAAACTTATAAAATGAAACCTATAATTGTATTGGTGATTCCAAATATGTAATGAAATCATAAGCTTGGCAAACAGTTTTGAAGAATTTGTTATTTTCCCATTTAGACAGAATGCCTGAGTATACTGCCCAAGAGGCGTTTCAAAGATGGTCACCGGGTAAAATGACTTGCCTTAAAGGGACTTTGGTCATTGTAAGGTGAAAGCCCCACCCATTAGTTAAGATCTCTCCCTTATTTCCATAGACAAACTTGAGTGGGAAGCAGCCGTTCACCACTAGATTTTTTATGGTGTAAACTTGAGGAAACATATTTGGAGTAATGATGCTGAAAGCTCAACTTTGCATCACAAGAATAAATTACATTTTAAAACATATTTAAATAGAAATAACATTAGTATTTTTGACATAATATTCTTTGATATCACCGTTTTTACTGTATTGTTGATCAAATAAAAGAAGTTTCGGTGAGTTGAAAATATCCCTTTTTTAAAACATTTTACAAATTGAAGACTGAACACTAAAACTGAAATATCTATGGTATATACATTTGAAAATTGTATAAATAAGTTAATTAGCAGTTTTCGTATTTTGTGATTCACAAGTTTTCCAATTATTTATGGTTGTAAATTGCATTATGGGACCTTGATCTTTGCTCTGTCGACTTTTGATGTTGAAAATTAAATTTTACTGTTAAACAAAGTGACTTTTATTGACATTTTAGTAGTGTGAAATAGTATAATATATAAGAAATAACAAAGAGAAATAAGTCTGTAAAATAACATAAATTGTTCTGGCAGTTTATTACAAGGTTTTTTCACTTTTTTTGTCAAAGATCAAGGTCCCATAATGTGATTCAAAAGAATAAATAAATGAGGAAAAACGAAGAATTAAAACACGAATCACAAAATACGGAAAACAGATTTTTTTTGTGTGTGTAAACATTATCTATATTTTAGATTGTATACCGTGCCCTTAAAAAGATAAGTAATTCTTTCAATAGAATGCCACTCAAAAATATCTCTATTAAATGGCCCCAATACACTAAAATAAAAAAAAATTAAAAAGACCTTGGGCTCAATTTTAACAATCTAGATGCAAAGTCTAATTGCATGGCACAAAAGCATTAATGGCATCTTGAAATCATTCAAGCCTCCTCTATCCGGCCTCTTTACTTTCACTTTACTTTTACTCTTTACTCCTTTACTTTGGATAAGGAAACAGTGTTGTATGCACTCCACTGAAGACATCTATTAGCCTACATATTTAATTTTGTTTGTTAAGCGCACAGATTTGTTTCAAAACTATTTCTAAATTCTGTTTTAATTTCCAGCAAACAAATAAATGTACAATAGTAACGAAGTGAGGTAAAAAAAAAAAAACTGAGCTACATTTAAACACATGTCCTATTCTTCAGCCCCATATGGTGATGCATATGTCCACAAAACCCAACAGGTGGACAAATAAAAAATTTGTAACATTTTAATCCTTGGATTTTTTACATATGTAAAGATATTTGTGTAATGCTATAAATACTGTATGTATTAAGCAATGTCTACGCGTTTTGGACCCTCATAGCCACATAGCTAACACAATCTGTGCTTTAGACCTGCTTTCAGTTGTTTAATGGCATGGTCTATTTCAGTTCCTCAAAATAGCAACACATTGATGCGCCTTAACACACCTCCTTTATAGACAAGCACACCCATGATTTCACAAAGTGGCACAAATGGATTTGCTATTTAAACAATGTGGCGCAAAACATGAAAATTACAGTTGCGCTGGTCTGAAAAAAGCAACAAATCACACCAAACACGTCTTGCAGCTTATATTGCTAGGTGCATGATAAGGCCCTTTGCCTCAGTTTCTCATTTGACTGGTAATAATTTTAAGTAATCACAGTGTAGTTTATCCAACAACTGGAAAAGCAGGAAACTGAGAATGTTATAATTGATGCAGATCTGTGGGGAAAAATGCTGTTTAATAATTTTTAATTTATAACCAGCTACTTTAAGATTGGTCTAGTAGCAATTTAAAACACTTAC